TCGGGTACTTTTGCAGGTGGCTTTTCCCTTGACGCTCGTGGCTTGGAGATGCCACTCTTCACTCAGGAACTTTGAGAGCCTGTGTGCCCAGCGCTGGGCAAGGGGCCTGGTAAAGCCTCTTGCCTCTGCTGAGAGAGGAGAGGCCCGGGCCCAGCGCACGGTTTGGTGTCAGTCCACCGTTTCCTCTCTCCTCTTTATTAATCTTCTGTAAAATGGGGTTCCTGCGTGTACCCCAGCCCAGGCATCCTCGTTGTCACTGAGGGCTTTTTGAGGACGATTGCAGCAAGTGACCTACGTTCCTTGGGTGCTCCTTGGCTTAACCAGGCCTTCTGTCTGCCGTTGCCGAGCACAGCGTGCCCCTCGGAGTAGCTGACAGGCCTAGCTGGCCTTGTCTGAAAGCCCAGCCCCTTGCAGCTCTAGCAGTAACCTGGGTGAGAGACTCCTCCACCCAGCCTCAGTTTATCTTTTGTATGATGAGGTGACTGGATGGTTCCTCTGGCCAGGAGTGTTGACAGACCATAATTGCATGACCTGCTGCCTTGAGTGAAGCCCTGGCTCCTGTCTCCTGTCTCAGGGACAGCTGTGGTTCTCCAAGAGGGGGTCCCACCTCCCCCACAGCCATCTCTTATTAAGGAGACATACCTACTTTATTTCACCCTCTGTCTTTGGAACAGGAACTCTGGTGGCATAGTGTCTAAGGCATTTGACTGGTAACCAGAAGACTGGTGGTTCAACCCATCAGCCACTCCTCGGAAGGAAGGTTGGGCAATCTACTTCCATAGTGATACTGCCTCAGAAACTCAAGGAGGGGTCACTATGAGTCAAAATCGACTCAGTGGCAGTGAGTTTGGTTTTTTGGTTTGATCTTTAGAACCTCCATTCAGTTGAGCCACATTTCGAGTGCTCAGGAGCCACCTGGCTATTGGCTTTGGAGTCGGAAAGTGCAGTTCTAATTACCATCCTAAGATTCTTTTTCCCCAGAAATTCTCACAGTCTAGTCTGCACAAGGAGCACATGGAGGCAGTAGTCAAGAAATCAAATGACGTATTGCATTGGGCAAATCAGCTGCAAAAAAATCGCTTTAAAGTGTTGAAAAGCAAACCTGTCCTTTGAGGACTAAGATGCATCTGACCTC